AGTCACATTTTCCCTACACTGTTCAATTAGAGAATCAATTTGTTCACACTTTTCCCCAATTATAGTTATTTCCCCAGATAAAGTGTATGAACCTTTTAAATTTGTTAAATCGGTATTCTGGTTAATACAAGATCTTAAAGTTTTTCTTAAAGAGTCTACATCACTATCACTCGTTTCTTCCCCTCTTATTCTTATCTCGTACAGAAGTTCTTCTTTGTTTAGATAATTTAAATTGTATTTTGACATGTTGAAAATTTTTCAGCCTCTACTTATTTGCTGTAGTTCTTCTAACATAGGCATAATCCTCAATAATCATGTAGGCCTATGTATTTCTCACTTTTACCAGCTTCTAATTTTAAATGATTCATTAGCAGAGTTGCGCACTTGTATACCCCTACCTTGTAGCCAATTAGGTAGTATACTTTAATTTAGGATGAATCTAATTTAAGCTGGTAGTAGAAGTGAGATAAATTAAAAGACAAAGTAGGCCAAAGATACATTTATTTTATGGATGTCAAATTTCTCAAAATACACTTTCCAAATGAAATTAAATATGCAGTTGTTACTTCCAAAAATTATACTAAATAATAAAATAGTGGAAAGATCTTACTTTAATCAGAGACACTGGTTTAATGGTCAGAACTGGCACTAGCAGATACCATGCAAAGCAACTAGAAGTGGTGCAAAAGCTACTGGACCAATCATAAGAAGGTGAACAAGAAGTGGTAGTACCAAGAAGTGGTTGATTTCTGTCTGAAAACATCACACAAACCCAATAAAAACTATTCTCTATAAATTCTAATAATTAAAAGTGGATTTAAGATCCTTACAACTCCTTGTGAAAATGTGCTTCTCCTAGAACAAAACTCAACAGGTCTGTATAAACTTTACTTGTTTTCTTTTCTTGTGAAATGCATTAAAATTGATTTGAAAACTATTCATTCCTTTTCATCTTTTTCCAAAAGTGATTTCTACAAAGCTATATACAATAAATCAGCTAAAATCTTATTACTAAACAATATTAAAACTACTTACAATTTTCTACAGCAACCACAACTTAGATGACCATATTTCCAGTGAACTTAAAACTGACAAAGTTGAACCTGGTTATCACTAACCACTACCAACCCTACAAAACTAAAACTTCTAAACTGCCAGACACTCTTTCTTAATCTTAATCTAGCCAATGATTAAATAATATTGATTTTGTTTTGTTATTTCAAATAAAAACTAACTACCATCGGTACAATCTAGAGGTCAAAATGTTAAACAGATACACACTGAAAATCTAAAAAAAACCTATTTTTACGTATAAAAAGAAAACAAGTGAGTTTAGGACATATGCTTAGGACATTTTTTTATAGTTTTGATCCAAGGAACCATTTCCCAAAGTTTGTCAGGGTTCCCGTGAAACACCCTGTATAGAAATTGAGTTTGATTTCAACCTACGCTTATATAAGATTTTCTTCTCACTCCTACGCGGCACGGGGGGGGGGGGGGTTAAAGTTGGTATAGTGTATATTTGCTGAAATGTGTTAACGCTACTTTTATGCCCAGTAATTTCGTAGACCTATCAAATTTTGTAGCTCTATCTTTATTACATATGAAAATAATTATCACTCTCGGGACATTTTTCAACCCTTTACCTCAATCACCTGAGGCATGGCCGCACTAGATATACTAGATATATCTAGTGCGGCCTTGCCTGAGTATAAATAAATAATCGAATGGTAGTGAAATTGTGTACAAACGTGTAAACCTACGTTAACTTGAACGAGTTTTCAGTACATATTCAAGAAAATATTAAGTAAATCGGTCCAGGGTAGAGGTCTTACCATGCGATCTAGAATATTACCAATAAGGCGAGAGTAAAGTTCATTAACAACCTTCCATCTTGCATATCAACCACCAAACCAACACTATTAATAGACACTTTGGTCACATGTGTCCGGACCTATTAGAGCCTTATTTGCATAAGTTAATGAGAAAAGATGGACAGTGGAATTGGTCGTCTGAATGAGCTTTAGTGTTTGCAAAATGTAAAACCGCTGTAAGTGAGGCTACTGTTAACTTTGTATGATCCTAGCAAAGAACTAATATCAGTTGACTCCAGTTCTTTTGGGGTAGGGACCGACCTTAGTCAAATAATTAATGGAAAAGAATGTCCCATTGCCTTTGAGAGTCAGCTACCATTAACCAAGCACAAAAGGAATTATTCCCAACTTGAAAAGGAAGTGTTGTGTGTAATTTTTGGACTTCGCGAGTTTCATAAACTTATGGGGGAGGAAATTCACTATTTACAGTGATCATTTGCCACGAGAGTCTGTTCGGTGAAACAAAAAGAATTCCGTCACTTAAGTAAATTAATACGTTGGGCAACCATTTTTCGTCAGCATATCAGTACAACATTAATACTGTAGCATTATACTCAAATCAAAAGGGGTACTTTATTCCTCAAGCAGATGCATTATCTAGACTACCTATAGTGCTGTTAGTTATGTAGAAGATCAATTAGATGCCTATTCACTTACTTGTCAACACCATTGATTTCCTTTGAAGAAGTTAGCGTCGAAACACTAAAAGATCAAGCATCATGCAAAGTAGTTAAATATGCACTTGAGAGGCTTCCTCGTTCTGTAAACATAACCTAAAGTGTACACAATTGTTTTGTTGTTTATATTTTTTGTAATTGTACACTAATGCCCGTTAGCCTAAGAGATGAGGCTCTTGAGTTAGTTCATTTTATAGTAATGCTGGCATAACCAGATTTATAAGCTGAAACAATAGCACTCAATTCTAGCAAGACTGTCATAACGCTATTTTCAGTCTTCACATTAAAAAACAATTTAGGATTTGAGTTCTTGGTCTTGTTGTATAGTTAATCAAGCTACTGGGAATAATATTATACAGTAGGTAGTCTCTTCGAATAACTATGTAGATTATTTTTGTAAGGAATCAGCTATAATAACTTTTATCATTATACAAATTTAAAAACTGTGTCAGCAATCTTTACTGCCTTGTATAACTCGACGAGGTCCTTCTTAACGATGATTTATTTAATGGCTATTTATTTTATTAACAGCTAAGGAGAATTTCTAACAACTTTATTTAGAGATCCTAACATCAACATCCTCCCTTTCATAAACTAACTTATGTCCTATATTATGTTCTATCGCCTAATTAAATTAACATAGATTAGAAAAAGCAATAGCACACTAGAGTTAAATGGCCGTCGCTTGTCACTGTCAGCGCTTGATTTATACCGTGTTATAAGCCAATTTTCGGTCCCATAAGGAGACACGAATCTCGGCTTCCCAAATAATCTTAAAGTTGTTGAAATGTAAAATTGTAATGAAACATGGCAAGACAATTTGAGGTAGTCTTACAGCTCTTCGAAAATCACTGTGAGAACGAGCGTATACAGAAGCTGTTTAACTAACTAACATTAATTAAAATCGAAAAATAATTATATTATTCTTTGAAAGGGTAGCTTGAACTACTTAAATTTTAAGTCAGGTTTGTTTGTCAACTTTTATACAATTAAAATTATTTAAAAACATTTACAAGTACTAAGGTTTTAGAGGGAGTCGATTCCAGGGCCATCTCTCGGTGACTTGAGGAACTCGGTACTACTACCTGGCGGTGAATAGACGAACTGAGAACTGACTGTTGTCGTTGTGTTGTGCGCCTGTTTGAGTCTTGAGGTTATGTTTTTTTAAACCAGATTTAATTTTTAAATCAGTTTAAAAGTGTTTCAGTTTTGACATTCTGTAGAGAAAAACATTGAACTTAAAATTTTATCTTAGTTAAAAATAGTGTCCAACTAAGAAAGTAATGTTTTGTTTTTTGAATAGTGTTGTTAAAGGGGAACTTACTATTTTGTTGACCTGGTTCAACAAGTTCAATACATTTAGCAAAAATAACCACTTGGAACGGAATGTGCATATTTACACGCAACTTAGAAGGGAGGTATATCAACACGTATGTAAAATTTGGTAATGATAAAAAAAATTTACATATTTTATTATAAAAAAAAACCATATTTTTTCAATTGTTACCAAATATTACTTACGATTTTGTTGACCGGGGTCAACAAGATAATATAAGCTAGGATATTTACGGCGGTTTTTTAATAATAAATTATTAAATTATTTGTTTGTCGTTACCAAATTTTACATACGTGTAGAATATGTTGATAAACCTTCGTTTCAAGTTTCTTATAAATATCTACTTTCTAAGTACCTTTTCTTGGCGATTGACCAGGGCCAACAAAATAAAATTAGCTATTTACGGCAGTCTTTTGTTAATAGAATAGGTAAATATTTTTTATCGTTACCAAATTTTACATACTTACATGTAGAATACATGTTGATAAATCTTTGTTCCAAGTTTAATGTAAATATATACATTCTAAGTACCTTTTTTTGTTAATAAAATAGGTAAATATTGTTTAATCGTTACTAAATTCTACATACGTGCAGAATACATGTTCGCATACCTTCGTTCCAAGTTTCATGTAAATATCTACATTCTTAGTGGTTATTTTGCTAAATGTATTGAATTTGTTGACCCGGGTCAACAAAATAGGGAGTCCCTTGTTTATGAATGGCACTATGTGAGTCAACTAATTATTTGATTTAAACATCAATCTAAAATAAATTTTTAGAAATGACTCTTGTCAAAGGTACTTTTATAAATTTCTAATTAATACAAGTTGTGATTACAGAACATTCCAGGTATTAAATTAATATCCTATTTTTTGCCAGGGGGTTGCCCATGCTTTCAGACTTGCCCATGTGAAGAGACACCTTGTGAAACAGGTCTTACTTAGCCTATACTATACAGACTTGACTACTAAACCAATCATGTAATGTAACCCTAGACATATCTGAGAACACTGACTGAAATATCTTTTGAAGATAGGTTTATAAAATAAGCTATAGTGAGACTCTTGCGGATGAACATTGATCAACATGACCAGTAGGTCTATTACTGAACCAGATCTTGATGGGCCATCAGAAATAAATGATAGTGAACATGAAAGTCTTGCACGGCACGTCTATGGTCATGGAACTACCTCTGGAGAATAACTGTTGTTCATTTAGCTTGTATTATCAAGTGTTCTCTTGAAATTTTCTCTAAGTCAAACTGGTAACCTTCTTATTATTAGGTGAGAACGATATCTACTCAGATACCAAGCCATATAAATCAGTTTTTATTTTAAACTTTTTGCCATCAAGCTGTGAACTGTGATACTATAAGCCTTGATAGTTATGATCGTAGACTAACTATAGTTCGGCCGCTTAGAAAACGACCTGCGCGCTAATGCTAAACCAATGCTGGAGGAGGTCGTTTTCTAAGCGGCCGACCTATAGTAAAGTTACCAAGGAAACTTAAAATGGATTTCAAAAATTATTTCAATCTAGAGGCTGCATGGCTGTGAAGTTTTATTTTGGGCTCCATACAAAAGTTTGTTGGGGTATTTCATGTTCTTAGTTTTGAAGCAGTTATATCAATTGGTACAATGAACCTTGGGATCCTCCAGGGTTGCACAAAAAAACTTAACACTGAAACATTTTAATAAACTCTGCTATTGGCTCTGTAACTTATATTTGTTTAAATTTATATTCAATGCATTATAATAATCGTTGTTTTTAATGAAAAATGATGACTTTCTGTCTACCCCAGGCTTGCACTGTGCACATGTGACAGCCGTCCTGTTAGCAGAGTTGTGGTTGTAGTCAGCTGCTCAGCAAGGCAATTAAGGGTCCAGGCCAGGTCATTCTCACTGCTACAGGTCATGGCTCTCCAGCATATCACTGGCCACCCCTCCACGACAGGAAGTAAGTTCTTTTGCACAAAATTTAAAGCTTCTACGGTCACACTTATTTTGTTTTTTGTTTATTTTGTGTATGTATATGTCCTTGACAATTTTTTCACAGTTTTTTTGTAAGGAAACTGCCCAAACCTTGGTATTGTTAACGCCAACCTTCTGCTTAGCATCACCGATGAATAGCCCTGCTGATAAAATTGGTTTTGAATCAGATCAAACTAGGAACTAATACAGTAACATTTTGGAATAAATGCGAGCATTGTAACTTCTTCACCCAGCTACAATAATATACAGCTTTGAAGTAAACAGTGTCATGTTACTCATTGTGCCAACATTTATGATGGATCACAAGTATCTGTTATGAAAGAAAAATTGTAGAGGCTTAGGTAATCATACAACACAATCATTTTTATAAATATTCTGGTTCGGTAATGCCAGTAAAACTTGCACATCATTACACTAATAGTTAGGGATAGGGGTCATAGTAGTCAATGGTCACACTCAACTCCAGCTTCCTACACTCTAGTTTATTCTTATGTTTATGGACCTTTAATAATTTAATTTGAAAAATGAAACTCCTCTATTTCATTTGTCTCCAACTTGACAAGGATTGTTTGTTATAGACGTTGGTTTATGAGTCAGCTGGCTAATAATTTGTATTTTTATCAGTGAAATTCATCTAGTTTTTTTATTAATAACAATCATTTTGAATTTTTTTCTTAAACACTTAAATATTATTGATTGATCCTGTCAATTTCTGAAATAATATAATTAATGGTTGTACTTTTAGTTCGTATTTTTACAGATTATATTAGTGCTGTTATTAAACAGGCCCCTGAACATATATTAGGAGAAATAAAAATAAAACATTCTAGGTTCTAGGCCAGTTCAGAAGGGTAATTCTTTAGGCATATTCAATTTCTTATATCGTCTCCTAGGTGCTGTTGCTGTTTCGAAAGTGTGTGTGGGACCATGTACAGTACCTGCACTGCATTGTTCATTCAAGACGGCAGAGGTAACCGGCGCCTCTACATGTGATGAGACCTGCCACTGTGCAGACCTACACAAAGACTACAAATAAGAAGATGGCTGATATATTACATAACAAATTTTGCAAGATGGGTCAACTGTTCATTATGTCATGAATGGAACTGTAGATTTTTTAAAATTATGTTGTAAATAAGTAGGATAAATGATGTTTTAATATATTGCTTTTAAATTTAGTTTTATTTTGATTTTTTAAACCTCTTAATTCTTTGATTAGGTTATGTAATTACTTTAGGTTAGACTTGGTAGCAACCCAAGGTACAGTCTACATGAGGGCCATGTACCATACTAAAAGATAAAAGGCTTTTTCTGAAGTTGGTTGGTAGTTAATTTTGTGGTATGATGGTATGCATACCAAAACTAAAAATACCTCCGCCGCAGAAAACCTGCCGACTAAGCGAATTTCCATTTGTCTGAATTGATTTTCAATTAAATCTATAAATAACATTAGGTTTAGCAAGTACCTAGATTTGCAGCTACAAGCTACAAGGAAGCTAATTAAGTGTGTTTTTTAGTAAAATATTAATAGCTTATTGGTATATAATAAATAAATTTGCCAAGTTTGATCAAAATATATCCATAAAATAACAAACTACAACATTTTACAATATTCTCCATAAGAATAACATGCGAGTTTGAAATTTAAAATTTTTTGAATTTTCTCCGTTACCAATAACCGTACAAAAACACTTTGATATACTAAATTATTTGTTTTTTAAGGGTCTTTTAAAAGGTCTAGAGAGAAATTGGGAAATTTTGTGTCCAAAATGAGAAAAACGTTTTTTTACCCCATAAAACTCCGTTCCCATGGTCCAATTATGCTGGTTCGTGAACTCGTTCAACTTTATCCAGCCTTACACCTTTAAACCAAATTCCATCAAAATCAGACAAAAATTACTCAAGTTATCGCGTTCACGGATATACATATACTCTGGGGACAGTGGCGGATATAGAATTTTTTTTGAGGGGGCCGAGATTAATTTTAAGTTAGTTTAAGTAGACAAGACATGACTTTATCTCAGTTTTGCTGCGGTAATTTGTGCTAAATGTGACCTTTACTTTACCAAGATCACACTGTATAATTAAATAATTGGTCCATTAAATTTGAAAGATGTATCTATTCAAGCCAAATGATGAAAAAACTAAATCAAAAACATTGATCAAGATTTAACAGTGTGACATTCAATCTGTTAACACTTCTTATCCGAACCTAAGGAGTCAAATACGCGATTGTGATTATGATATTTGGAGGAGTTCTAACTAATATATAAGTATTCTTTTGTGCGAACTGCAAAACGTTAACATTTCAGTACAACGTCGGACAGATTTAAATAACAAACAATAACAATGGTTACCACTGAGCTGACTGAACTCTTCATTACTCCCCTTCCCTATTGCCGGTAGATATGCTGGTCTCTAGCAGTCACTGTTGCTAGCGAAGATAGCCGGGCGGCAGGTATCTATCACCTATCTAATCACCTTCAGTATATGAAGGTGATTATTCTCAGAGCTCTCTTTTGCAGGATCAATATTTCTTCGGTCGTGGGTGCATGTCCCCACAGCAAAATACCATAGCTCACATGGCAATGAAAAATTGCGTGATACACGCTCAGCAGGTATTTCTTTGTGACCACATATCTTAGTTTTAGAAGCAGGCAGCATACCCTCGATAGTTTACTGCAAACTTGGTCTACATGGTCACTCCAGGTTAGTTTTTGGTCGAGTGTGAATCCCAACAACTTCACTGGATCATTCGGAGGAGCACGTTTGGCTAGATTGCAAACAAGGGACTGTGTTTTAGTATGGTTCAGCTGGAAGCCATTGGCCTCAAACCAGTTTGAAGCTTCTAGTAAGTGTTACTCCGCTCCCGCTACAGACTGATCAACATGCAGTCCTCGTGACACAAGGGTGGTATCGTCAGCAAACAATACAACATTTCCAGTCTTGTCAAGGTCATTAATCATGACTAGGAAGAGAAGTGGCCCAATGACAGATCCTTGCGGGACTCCATAAGCTACATCTAGAGGTGCTGAAATCGCCCCCTCAATGGAGACCACCTGCTGCCTACCCGAAAGATACGACTCAATTGTCTTGAGGACAGTGCCCCCTACTCCATGACTCTCCAACTTCCTAACCAGTAGGGTATGATTGACGCAATCAAATGCGCGGCTTAGATCGCACAATGTTAATGTTTAAAAGTACATCACATAATTTTTCAATATTTTGAAATTGCAATTGTGCTATTCTGACTAGCACAACCAGTGAAAAATTGGCGCCTATAACCTCATTCAGTACTAATAGCAAACAAACACTGTAGAGTAATAAAGAGAATTTATCTACTTCAGTTTACGCATTCTGTCAATGTTTCTTTACATAAATAGTAGTGTTATAGTTGATACAAGGGAAAAATTGAATTGATGATATAAACCATCAGAGTAAAAAATGCAGTCGTAATCATCTTAGAGCAACCATTCTTTGTATAGTGTTTTGTTACTACTAATGAAAACTGGTCACCTGAGACGTGGTCGGCCGTATACACATTCTTTGTAATAGTGTTTTGTTACTGCTAATGAAGACTGTCTCCAGTCCACATGTGGGAGCCTGAGACGTGGTCTGCCGTATACACATTCTTTGTAATAGTGTTTTGTTACTACTAATGAAGACTGTCTCCAGTCCACATGTGGGAGCCTGAGACGTGGTCTGCCGTATACACATTCTTTGTAATAGTGTTTTGTTACTGCTAATGAAGACTGTCTCCAGTCCACATGTGGGAGCCTGAGACGTGGTCTGCCGTATACACATTCTTTGTAATAGTGTTTTGTTACTACTAATGAAGACTGTCTCCAGTCCACATGTGGGAGCCTGAGACGTGGTCTGCCGTATACACATTCTTTGTATAGTGTTTTGTTACAACAGTAGAGCCTTTATAACAAGACTCTCATAGGGATCATAAATTAAGACTTGTTATCAAGGTTGACTTCTTATCGAGGTTTGCAATAACATGTGATTAGGGGTATAATAATTTCAAGGGGATTTGAAAATCACCCTTGTTATCAAGGGTGACTTGTTATCGAGGGTCTTCTTATCGAGGTTCTACTGTACTAATGAAAACTGTTGACTATCTACATGTGGGAGCCTGAGACAAGGTTGGCCGTATATACACACTCTTCCAATGTTGCCAACACATCATGATCCATATCATTTTGTTAATAGCAGCTGAAAACGCATCCAACTAAGGCAAAGTTTATATTAACGACAGCATTTTATATACCATTAGTTGTAAAACAAATTGAAGGAAAATATGTTATCAGCATAAAAAATTTGTTTTAAAATTGACTGACACTTATTCCTCATTTAACTGTTAGACATTTATTTGCCCATAACATGTCATTCTAACCATGATACAATGATAACAGATAATAGAGTTGCATTAACACGAAACACCCTGAAGTGTTTATTAAAAACGTTGAATAGCCTACTCCAATTTTATCATGTTGTACAAAATCTCAACATCTTGAATATTTAGGTTTGTGCCTATCATGCTGTTAAAGAAAGGACTTATTAAGGGTAGACATATTTCAAATTCCATTAAAATGATCAAATTTAAGCTTGACCCAACCATGTATGGGGTTTTAATTCATTGCAGTTTATTGGCTAGATACTAATCTGGCTAAAATAAATGGCATCTTGTTTCCAGTAAACTAAACTACAGGGAGAAAATAATTTTATTTAAAAATATGGGTTGATAAACTTGTGGCTTCGCATACCTACTAAAAAATCTTACTGGGATATACCACATCATTTTTAGAAAGCTCCTTAAAAGAATAAATCCGGGGAAAGACAAAGTAAAGCAATTATTACAAAGTCTTTATTGTAAAAAACTTAAGTTAAGAATCAAGTCTAATCTGAGTCAAAACACAAACATCGAGATCACATTTTACATGGTTTCAATACATCATACAAATTTAACCTAGAGTCTATCCATCGATTCAACCATGACAATGGAATTCCCACGGATTACCTGAAAAAGAAATCTAAAATTAGGGAAAACTTAAAAAAATATGTGTCAAGGAGAGGACGTTGGAGTAATATGTGGACAACTCTCATTCGTAACATACTATCTAACTCTTCAACTCGTCGGTACAAATTACAAATTAAATACAATAACCCAGTAACCTTGTTATCAAAAGCAGGGTATACCTTGCATGAAATAGGGTAGTAGGTTTCTTTTTTTTGTGTTGTATCAAGTGATAGTTCCGAGATGCTAAATCAAAATTTTCTACCTTAAAAATTCAAAGCATAAAAATCGGCAGAATTTTGTACTTTTTCATGAAAAAAACAACTATGGTAATTTTAAAAGTAGATTAAACTACCTATAACATAATACCAAAATGGTTATTATAGGCCTAGCAGTTTCCAAGATTTATAATTAAAATTACAGAATTTTTATGTTTCTTAAATTTTAGCCAATTTTTACCCTGAAGCATCACTTATTTACTGCAAAATTCATAACAATTTTAAAAGTACGTTAATTACCTACAATTTTATACCAAAATGAGGTTTGTAAGCCTAACAGTTTGCGAGATTTGGCTCTTTGAAGTTTATCAAATCTTCCATCAATGCTTATTAGATGGCATGAAATTGTGGAGTTAAAGTTTAAAAAGCAATTCATTAGAGTGGGTCGAAAATATAACTAATTTTTTTTTGAAAATTCTTTTGAACAAAAAATGAAAAACTCATATTTTATCAGAGCTTAAACTTTAGATTTTTAATATGTAATAGTTAAAAATGTCATCTAAAATTGATATTTAAATAATAGTATTGTATGTTAATATCTTACGGTCGCGCAGGCTGCATATATTGCCAAAAATCAAGAAAAACGTCATTTTGTGCTAGTCTTATTTAAAATATAATAATCGAAATCAAAATGTAATACCGAAAATCTGTTTGTACACATAGTAACTTAACAAAAACAACAGACAAAGTCAGAATTGATCTTCCGGTTGCGCACAGCAATACAAATTTACTTTAACACGGCACTTTTGGGTCAGTGACCAGGGCGACGCCATG